AAAAAAAAAAAAAAAAAAAAAAAAAAATGTTAAGAGTGTGGATCTAGCCTCAAAGACATTCCAAATTTCACCAAGAAGTCAAACGTTGTGGATGGCCCGGAAGAGGAGGTGTCCGAAGGGTTCTCGGAAGAAAAATCAAACCTCTTGGAAATAAAAATGTATGCTGCAATCTTTACAACCTTCAGTTGCTGCAAGTTGTAACTGTTTTGGATAAATTATGAATGTACGAGGTGTGTTTGATCACTGTCAGTTCTCAATCTATTTCAACAGTAAAGTGCTATTTCGATCTCTTTTATTAGGAGTCGAAATTCATCAATGCATTAGCATTCAAAGTAAAAGCGAAATGATTTGTTACCTTTTGTATGTGAAGTGATATAACTACATATCTCATGTTAATTTCGATTTCCGGTTTGGTCAATTTGTGTTTCCAAATTAAAGCGCGCGCATTAGCTTATTCTAATGTGAACGTCAAGTTGATTTCGCTTGTGATGTAATAAACTGATTCATCCTATTGAATTGTTGTCAAAGTTGTTGGCACTAAAGAAGCTCTAAGATGGGAAACTGTTTCACAGCTTGCACTAAAAGCAAAGATGATTCCTCGCCTGGGCGAGAGAAGAAGGCTAAAGGTAAACGACGAGCAAAACGGGATAAAAGTGACATCAACGCAAAGGCCTCGAGAGAAAACTCTCCATCCTCGACACCGAAAGATTGTCTCTCCATTACTTCAGTAGAATCCTCCAATGATGTCGGCGATACTGGTACTAAGACCGAATGTTTAAGCGAAGGACGTCAATCAACCGAAGACTTAACAGTGATTGGCCACGCCCTGCCGATTCCAGAGAAACCAGAAAGTCCTGTGATCGAGCCCAGCGTGTCAAATACCAGGACTATCGTAGTGGAGTCATCCGCGACAAGCGAGAATTCCTCAAAGGAAACTTTTCCTGGAGAGGGCATCAAAAGGCCTATTACCGGTAACGAATCCAGCCCTTCCTTTGGAGCTGAAGAGGCCAAATGCAACGACGATCTTGAGGTGATATGTCTTGATGAAGAAACAAGCGCCACAGTTCCACCGCCCCGTGAATCTGAGAGCCCAGAAAACCCTGAACGGAGAAGCTACTTCGAGCTTCTTGAGTTTCTAAAGATACGTCTTGACATGGCCGCTAATAACATGGAAATTAACAGGTTACTAACCAATGTGGATCGTACTTTAGACAGAACATCACGAACTCGTGAGCTTGGTTTCCAACGCATGCGCGCCGCAGAGGAATCACGGCGGGCTGCACAAGACATGCAAGAAGAGAATGATACTGACCGAGAGGACACTGAGAGCGAGGAAGGCGGGGAAAGCGACGAAGGAGCTCAAACCCCTCCCCCTCCCATCCCAAGGGTTTGTTGGCAATAAGCTGTTAAATAGTCACGGCTTCCGATATCAGCTTAAGTGACCAAGTGAGGCAGCTGCAATTTAGGAGGACTAGATCAAAAAAGCATATGTCCTGCCTGTGAAGGATAGAGAAAGAATGATGCTGGCAATACCTTTGAATCAAGGGACTCCTCAATGGAAGGGATTGACGATCAGATAGGTCGTTGGCGCGGACATGCGAAGTTCCTCCCTAAAGTAACGTCGCATATTAAGTTTCTTTTTGCTGAAATTTTCACTTTTTTGTATGAAGGACTCTATGTTGTTGACCAAAATCTTGATTTTCTTTTTGTTAGGCCGGCATACGTGCTCTCTTTTTTAATTTTTTTTTTTCGATAGGGCAAGATGATCAATATATCGGGAACTCTATCACGTACACTCCTAAGAAGATTCGCCTAACTGGTGGATAAAACAAAGCCAGTTAGTATTTTGTGTAAACGGACATCAAAAAGCCTCATAAAAGTACTAAGAAATTCTTGATATATTTATTGTAATTACAATATTATTGTACTTATATTCTTAATTAATTTAAATTTAATTTGTATTTGTAATTGTCTTAATAATTGCAATTGTATTGAGCTGAAAAACCCACATAGGGAGCATCAATAAAGTTGTTATGTATGTATGTAAGAGACTCATTCACCAACATAGTTTCTTCATATCCCGCCCCACCCCCTCCTTTGGACCCTCCCCCTATCTCACCCTGAACAGAAGTCTATTGGCTTATCGGTAATATTACTCTCTTAAATGGGCTAGGTCACAGCATTCTAGGAATGACCAGTCTAGTTTCGTTAATTAGAAGATCTGAACTTCTCTTTGGCACAGCAACACTCTTTTACTGGCAAACTTACGATCACATAACAAACAAATATGATTTCTGAACGTTAGAAATGACACTTTACAACAAGTCGGGGCAACATTTTTCAAGATTACTCCAACGCGGTCCTTCTCATCTTCTCTTACATATTTTTCGCATCCACGCCTCTTTAATTTTCTACTAAGTCTTTTGTGTTTCTTTTGCATTTTTGAACATGATGGCTTAAGCACTTATTGTGACATTTCAGTTAATTTGGTCATCGCTGGCCCCTTTAAAGGGACAAATACCTTTATCCTATCAACCCCGTTGTCCTAAGTAAAAGTTATGTTATCTTTAATAAAGATACTGCTCAAGGAGTCCATAATAAAGGTAGTGTATTGTGTTGTGTTGTACCGTAATTGATTTAGTTACAGCATGGTGGAGTATGCGCAGATCTACCATACAGTATGCTTGTATGCACTTGACTTTTTCTGAAGAAACTCTCCTACTGATATGAACCCAACCAGCAGTTTTGAAACGCAAACCTCCTTCCAAGAACCTTCCCCTGATAACTGTCATTCTCCCGACTCCACTGCTTTTTAAACCCCAATGACAATCTCAAAAGGAACGGGCACAACCAAAAAAAGGGTCTAGATAGGTTTAACTGAAAACTGAGAATTGGGTGTCCGCTTTTTGGCTTGGCTAATATATGTACTATTGAAATCCAGCTGTAAACATGTACCTGTAGATGGCATGGTGAGCGAGAAAAACAAGTGTGAGAGACGCAAATGTTTAACTGACTGGGGAGGTGACAGGTAGTAATGTAACTGGCACTGAAAACGTTTTGTTTTCATAAAAGATGAAAACAACTCATTCAACTCTTTAAAACGTGTGGTTACCCCTCCATTTTATGTTATGAAATGGAAGTGGCAAGCCAATTCAACTCGTGAGTAGTTTCTAGTTGTGAGGAAAGCTATTTAGACTGCGGTTTGGCTAAACCAGAGGAATGCTGTCAGGGACGCTAAAAGAGCTATTGCGACGGTTTTGTTATTTAAAACATATACATGTCTGAGTATGAAAACAGTGTTGAAGAAATCAAGCGTTTTTTTTCACGCCTGAAAAATTTTTATATCGTATCCAAACTAGGCGATATAAATATTAAAAGGAATGTCAGTCTTTTTCTTCTTCCACGCTCTTATTTTCCTTTTCTTGCTCTCCTCTCTCTATCTATTCTTCATCGCTTGGAGTGACTTTAAGGCCTTTTGGAGTTGTTCCGTCAAAGTGAATATGGCTATTTTGGAGTAAAGTCTTTAATGGCAGTATATATAATATGCATGAATTTATATAGCGCTTACTTCCAGAGCTCAATGGCCCTTTACAATATTTATAATTAAAAATAAAATCACTACTACTCAAATTTACAATATCGTTTAACACGGTTTTCATAGATTCAGTCATATATACAACTTGATTTTTATGCTACCATTTACCATTTAGTTAAAAGCTAATCTTTACAAATGTGGTTGATTTTCTGTATATACAGGCGAATTCTAAAGAAATCTATGAAGAAATATATTTTCCTTCTTTTTCACTAAAATGTTGACGTCAGCATTTTTGTTGGAGATTCAAGGCTAATTATCTCGGAAAAGATGAGTGGCTACCTTCAGCTTTCGTTGTGGATTCCAATAGCCCTTGCTAAGATCTACTTTTTGCAGATGGTACTAATCTGGCGAAAATACCTTTGTATTTAGTAGGCACCGTCCTTAAGGGGTCGACGAAATTTTTTCTTGCAGTGAACTTTTTGAAGCCCTCCCGAGAAAAATTCAATGAGGCATGCGCTGTTTTCATGTTTCTCTGGCATGGATAAGTCTGGGCCAATGTAGCTTGAGAGGTAAAAAAAGCCTCTTTCCAGTTTTCAGCTGCCAATTATTTTACATTCTGTAAAAAAATTAAAAAAACTCGTTTATTTACTTATTATATTTATATTTATATTATATTATATAAAAAATTAAAAAAAACTCGTTTAATTATTCGCTTATTATTAGCTACTTATTAACTGGGTGAAAGGTCTTTTACGGGTAAATTAAATATATACGAGTACCTATGTTTGTATGTACACACGTTTTATTTCTTTTAAAGAGATATGAATTCACAAATTTGGGCATGCCTGCAGGCAGCAAAGGCGAGTTAAAGCGGGTCATACCTCAACAAAACAAAATGAAATACAGTGGAATTCCGATTTTTCGAACCTCCTACGGAAACGAAAATTGGTTTCGAAAAATCGGAGAGCTCGAGAAATCGGGGGTAAAATTACAGTGTTCGACTGAGAAGAGTGAACGACTTTTGGTTCGAGTTGTCGCGGGAGGTTCGAAAAATTGAGGGTTCGAGAAATCGGGATTCCACTGTGCTATAGTTTGTCTTCAAAAACACATTCATTGAACAAGTTCTTTAATTAGATATGCTAAATGCTGAAGGGAATACTAATTAAGGTTGATAGAAGGTATAATTCTCCCACGCGTCTCCACGTTCTTGACGTTCAAGCCTTGACGATCGGTTGTAAGGTGCCATAATTATGGCTTCTTCATGATTACCATCTGGCATGGGCTTCACCTGGGGTAATCTGTTTTTCAGGCTAAAAATGAAACAAAAATTAGGAAAAAAAATTACTGAAAACGCTCTCGTGTTATATTTTGCTGCACCTTTTGCTCAACGGAATTCTTCTTCCACTTCTCTCGAGTGGCACTCGACAGACATTGATTATCTCCACTTTGCCCTTTCAGTAGGTTAAAAAAAGATAAAGACTGTGTACGAGTCACGTGGCTCATCAGGGACAGTCAGGCCGGGGATTGTCCCGGTTTCTGTAGAATGAAGTGACTAGGAGTATTTCCACCCCCACCCCCCGGGATGAGATGATAGTCCATCGCAGGGTTACCCCCAGCATTAAATTCGCCGGTACCCATTTATACACCTGCGTGGAGAGAAGCACTGTGAGGGTAAAGCGTCTTTTCCAAGAACACGATACGATGTCCCGGCCAGGGCACGAATCTGGACCGATCGATCCATGTTTAGTCAAGCGCACTAACCATGAGGCCACCGCGCCTTCACGAAACATTTTGGCAGGGCTAGCCATTAACGATAACTTCATGCAATGTCGTATAGCTGACTACTGTCGATATTCCGTTGACTTCCAAGGTATCATAAAGAATCAACAAAGAGTTAATTATATCTTACCGCCAGAACACGATCGAAATTATCAAGATGAAGACCACCACTCCTACACCAACACCAATGGCAGCCCACTTCCAAACATTGCTTGACTCATCTAGTCCCGCTGTTGGTGACGTGGTCGGCGTGGCAGGTTTGAAGAGAACTTCTACATCAGAGATGTTTGCCCCAATGGCTAACTCAAGCGCGGACTTGTGAGTTTTAACGATCTCTTCCAGAGTACTGCGAGGCAGGACCGAGATATTTCCGATGAAGAGTCCAAGCGGCTGCTGCACGTAAAACGCTACCTGGAGAGAGCCCGATGCGTTGCTAGGGTAACCAGGCAGTAGGTGAACCTGGTCAGTGGTGTAAAGGTCCGTAAAAGGGGAACGTCTGATGACAAGATTGAATGTTAAAAATACATGAGTTAGTCAAAGTCTTAATTCCAATTATTTAAGCTTAACATGTGTGACATTGAACTGGCCTTAGAGGCGAAACAAGTGGCTTCAAATCATATGCTTTAAAACCAAGAGAAAATAAAGGTAAGAGAGTTTATGGGCTAGAAATTTCTCGCGCGACGCGTGGACAGCCCAAGCAGCTTTCTCGAAAGGAAGAACAGGGTGCCATGTCTTAAAATAACTTAAGAGGGATTACCTTGGGTGTAAGGCATATATGCGAGATTCACTCTTTTACCTTGATCTTCTCTTGTTTAAAACAAAATAAAACAAGCAAAGAAAAACAATACATGACATACTAAAAGAATGTAAAAACATTCCGGACAAGGAAGATTTAAGGTCTCAATATAATAGCGGATTTTAATGAGCCAGACAGGATTTCAAGTTGAGCTCAAATTGCACGAAGACGTCTGTAATCAATTCAATATTTCTGTCGGTGTAGTATTTTAAAGGCTTACTCAACCCAAAAGAGTGTAAGTTAATTGAAAGGGCACCATATCGTCTATGACAGCTATGTGAAAGGGTTACCTTTTCTGTCAAAGATATCCTCCTCGTAGATAACTTTATCAGGTTCCCCCCACCCCTACCCCTGTAATGTGTCTTATTCAGAAGTGGACCTCTTTAGTTCATGTAGTTCTGAGATTCGGTAAACAATCAGTGATCACCTTTTTCGCCTAGCGTTCTTTAGGGCACATCTTGTCCTGTTTTCCGTGCAGAAATCCGTTGTTACAGACGCCATTTCGTCTTTGAATGACTTGTCCTTTTCGAAATCCCATTCAAACTGTCAAAGATGATAAAAGGAGCTCTGGTCAATATAAGCTTTTATTTAAGGACGTTCGCGCGAAAATTTTTCAGTCGATAGATTTTTTAAAATTCTTACTGCAGTCAGATAATGAGTTACTTGTGTCAGAAATGCCAAAAAACTGGGGTCACCGAATTCATTTCAGAGAAAAAGCGTGTGGAAAACTACCCTGATTTTGAAAAATTGACGCACGTAATTCAGCACGGTCTACAGGGGTTTATAGTTAAAAATATCAAAGGTGAGTCAACGGAGGCAAAAGATCTTAGTCATAATTTTATAGAGGTGGGTCTGTTGCGTAAATAATTCCAAATGTTACCAACGTTTTCACAAAACTTAACCCTTCAAGAGGCATTTAAAACCGTCGCACAGATAAACGAAGAGCTAAAAAGAACGGAATTCTATGGTGCATTTTGCAAAAAGTTCAAAATTCTAGTCGATAAATTTTCTACATCCATCAAAAGAAAAATACGGGTCACCGAACGTCCAAGATCGTTAAAGCCAGGCAAAGTTATAGCCGTGGCCATCTGCCCATTCATTGTTCATATTATTTCTTAGCGCGCGCTCTCATGCATGACGTGGCTTGTGAATTTGCATGCGCAGTAAGGATGCGCAGAAACAATTAGCACGAACACGTCATAGAGTATTTAAATGTCGAGGTGAAACTTATTCAAGAGTTATCAAAAACAACTCTTCAGTTTTTTTCTGTTAGTGAGCGTACAAAAAGTGGTATGTTACTTAATTCAAATGATTCAAGGGACAGAAAACGAAAATGCTGCTGGTATCAGCAAAAAGATAGAAATATAACAATGATCTGATCAAAAAAAAACAAAAAAAAAATTAGAAATATAACAACAAAGCAATTGTAAGGCTGATTACTACGCAGACAACACTTACATCGCTTGTGAGGGAAATTACGAACTGTACAGCTTCTTCTCTCTCTTTCTTTGATGGCACACGCGGTTCCGGTAACACTGGCTTGGGAGCTGTCTCATTCTTCGCTAGACCTAAATAAATATTTTAAAGATGTTGTTTTGTTTTTGATATTCTAGACACCAAAGACAACGATAATATAGCAAAAAGCTAGGAACAAAGACGGCCAAGATTAATGAAGACTTGGGATGTACGGCAAACAACGAACTCAAACAATCTCGACCTCTTAAATTACAAAGCAAGTAGAAGCGATCTTACTTTTTTAGCATTTTGCTTTTAACAAGAATCCAAGTTATGAGAGAGCGTGTTTTTTAGCCACAAAGCTCTTTTAGTGAGGTTTTCAATAAGATGTTGTAAACCAATGACGCCGAAACGTTATGTACAAGCGTTTATATCCCTTTTAAAGCCAAGAACATAACTTTGCTCATTCACAAAGGACACAGAAAATTTAGTGAAACATTCAAAACTCAAGGCACATTCATGCAGTTGCTGCAGAGCGTGCGACAACTCGCGATTGGTTTTGATCTAACTTCTGATTGTATGAGACAGTTGCCCGGAGTTTGTTAAACCAATCACTCGGAGTAGAAATGCAAAAACAGAGCAATCACGAATTAATTTCGACACTCAGGTGAAAACTGCTCTGAGCCAATCATAGCCAGAGTGTAGAGAGGCAAGCCCAAGGCAACTGGCCATTTCCGAGTTACCTTGTGCCTCTGCTTCAAAACGAGTCTTCGTGAAAAACCTTTCTTATGAAAGTGAGTTTGATTTGCATGAAATGAACCTGTAGGCGGAACTCAGTTTCATAGGAATGCTTTTGCCTTTAGACTCGAAAATGGAAAAATTACTAAAAATTACTTAAATTAATTGCTCCTTAATTTTGGTGCGAAATTTCAGGTTACGGTGTCACAAAGGAATTACAAAATTGCTATGGCAACGTTCTGTGCGAACTTTCTCGGTTCAATAAACAAGTCAAACCCACGATTGTAAGCGTATTTTGTCACCAACGATATTGAAAGGTGATTAAATGGCGCATTCGTGAACTTAGGATTTTGTCAAAATTCTAATAATTTGTCTCGTCCAATGGCTGGGGAAATTAAAAGAATTTTGACGAAACACGCGTGAAATTATTTCCTAATTTCATTTGTCATTATTTGATTACCATACTAATTCATCTCTGATTACCTCTGCATTTGCCATTAATAAAGTAGAGATCTTGTTCACATTCACACTTGTACGAGCCGCGAGTGTTGACGCACTTGTGGAACTCATCCGTGCAGTTGTACAAATCTTCATCCAGGCATTCATTAACATCTGATTAAATTAATACAACAAATAAAGTAACATTTTCGTTTTTTTCTTCGTCCAACAGTTCGGTTGTAGGCTCGACACAAAGCGCATTATATATTTATTGTTAAGACCAGGTCAAACGAACTCGCAAGTAGTCGCATGTAGCCGCAAGTTGAACTTGCATCGAGAATTACGTTGGGTGGCCAAACCAGCGGACTCGCAAGACTTCTCGCTAGTGCACACAAGTCGTAAAAAACCCATTTCAAGGCAGACGTATCCTGTATTTCGTTGGCTAATAATAGGTTAATAGACGTCATTCAAATTGCGTTGACTTGGTTGAGTACGTGGTCAAACGGTGAAAAGTTGCGTCAACTTGCGTGCAAATTTGGTCTCGACCAAAGTGAGCGCAAGTCATCGCAAGTCAACGCAAGTGCACGCAAGGCCTGGCCAAACGGAGTTTAAAGTAGACCCAAGTTTTCAGCTTTCGACTACTTGCGAGTTCTTTTGACCAGGGATTTAAACATAAATCATCATACCAAAAGCGATGAAATGAGATTAACGATTACATGTTAAATACCTTCACATTGGTAACCATCCCTGTTCAATTCGAATCCTTCTTCACATGAGCAGTTATAACTTCCTGGGGTGTTTTCACAAATCTGGCTGCAGCGATGGCGAGGATTAGCTGGATCACATTCGTTGATGTCTTTGAAAATGAAAACAGAAAATTAGATGGTAGATAATGATTTTAATACCGGTAGGGTGTGTGATATTCCATCTCAGCAGCTAATATTTCATAATCTTTCTGTATTGTTAACGCGTTACATCAGTTAAGTGAACGTGCTGCAATAATATTCAATATTAGTCTAAAACTACAAACCTTCTATCACGAATGTCGTTCTCTTATTGGCTACGCTACTCACTATCTATTCTGTTGTAGATAGTGAGTCACAGTGAACGATTGACATCAAAATGCCAGTTTCTTTGCGTTTTCAAAGTGTCTTCGAAGAAAAAAATTTAGATAATGTTTTGAACGACTTGTAGATTTATATTAAATCAATGGGCCATTTTCGACTTGCCTTTTGCCTCTGTGTCAAAGTGAGTCTTCTTGCAAAACCATTCATATGAAATTGAGTTCCGCCTGCAGGCTCATTTTCATGCAAATCAAACGCATATGAAAGATTTGCACGAAGACTCGTTTTGAAACAGAGGCACAAGGTAACTCGGAAAAGGCCTATTTAATAAATTATTCGTTTTCCATTTCAAAGCGTGATGGCTGGCTCAGGCTGCTCCCTTGTCAACTATCTGCATGCAGTGGAAATCTCGAGCTCATACTCTAACATAATAAAGTAAAATTTATGAAAAGTCTACTCGGGATTTCGACCCGAAGGGATTAATTGAATCGTCGTCTTGTTCTCTGAGTATTTGGGGTTTTACACTCGAGAATAAAGCGAATTCCTTCTTAAATTATTATCGGAAACTACAAACCTCAGCTGTCGTGAGCCGTCACACTGTAAAACACTTCATTATAACAATCAAGCAGATCTATCTTCTGCATGCTGAATTAAGACACTCATTAAAAATCAAAAATCAGGGAAAAAAAATGAAGATTTGCTCAGGATTATGCCTTGAGCTTCTCCCATCTTGTGCATCTTAATGATTTGTAGGAACGTTACACCACTGTTCCCAAAAACTATTACTCGATAAAAACAAAGCTATCAAGTACCTCTGCAGGTTTTTCCATCATTCTCCAGCTCGTAATTAGCAAAACAGTCGCACGTTGGTTGGTTATTGCTTCCTTTGAAGCAGACATGTTGACAGCCATGTCCAGAGGTACAAGGGTTTTTGGCTGTAAAGAGAAGATAATCACGTGACCAAGCAAGAAACTGTGCTGCAAGTGAAGCACTAAGCTACTTAAAGAAGCTACGTCACGGTTTACGCATCTTGAAAAGTTTAGCTTAAATTTTAAGGATTAAGAATGGCTGACTGTTAGGATCGAGAAACGCCGGTCAACGACCCATTTGGCAAATCGCTCATATTTTGCTCAAAGATACCCTTTGGTGGCCTTATTCTAAAAATCATATTTAAGGGTTCCAGCAAATTTTTATTTTTCAGAAATTCGCGAAAATTTGAAAGCGCGGTCAAAGTGCGGTCTTTCTTGTAATAAAATGACCGAAATAAGTTGCGAGGCCGACAAAGCGCTGCTAAAGTCTTAAAACATATTAAATTGACTTCAAACTTCACACAAATGTGGAACCACCACTCTAATTTATTCCTCGTTTTAAACTAATCTCAGAGATGTTGATATAGTGGTTTTCCGAACCATTTTAAAAACACCTATGAAGCGTG